TGCTCCCCTAACTCAGCTCTGCCTCTGCTATCAGCCATTGGAAGCCCCAGGCAAGGTCCCCAGATGAGGAGTTTCTTGACATGCGCCATGGGTGTCTGAGGGAGCAGGAGTCGGATCAGCAGGGACTGGAGTTCAGGCCCTGTGGCAGGGGATGAAGGGCGTGGCAAGGTGAGGACTTCAGGGCAGGCAATGTGGCCCTTGAGCATAGGTAAGAAGCTTCCTCCACTCAGCGCTCCCCTGTCACTCCTCCCCTTCTTCCTGCTGCTCCGCCCTCTCCCCTCCCCCACATGCCTCCGCCCATGCTTCCATTTTCCTGTGGCTCTGCCCTGCCCCTGCTGTCAGCCCTGGGAAGCCCCAGGTAAAGTGCCAGACTGTGGAGCATCTGAGGTATATGCAGTTTTGTCCCAGAGGACTAGAGTGCGGTCAGCAGGGAGAGGGGTAAAGGCCCTGTAGGGGGCAAAATGAGGACTCCTGAGGCAGGACAGAGAGGTCCTCCACCCCCAGATAGAGTCTCCCCTCCACTCAGTGCCCCCGTTTCTTCACCGTGCTGCTCCTCTCTTCTCCCTGCCTCCATGCTCCTCTAGCACTGCCCTCCCCCTGCTGTGGGAAGCCCCAGTCAGGAGCCCCAATGTTGGTTTTCCTGACTTTTGACTTTCCACTTTCCACTTGGGCGTCTGAGGAGGGGCAGCGTTGTCTTAGGGGTGCTGGAGTTGGGTCAACAGAGGGAGTGGTCCAGGCCCTCCTGGGGGCAAAGTGAGGAATGAGGGAGGATAGAGCAGACTTCAGTGGAGGAGGCCTTAGAGAAACCTGCCCTTGCTGCCAGCCCTGGGAGGCCTTGCAAGGCTCCCAGACTTCTCATTTCTTGTTAGCTGTCTTAGGGATAAGGGAGCCTAGGCCTGAGGGCAAGATTCTCAGGTCTGCAAAAAGGAGCTGAACCAAGTCCAGTCGAGAGTTGTTATTAATGAATTGTGGAGGACGGAGAGCAGCTGAAGGCACTCCGGTGGGTTAGTGGTTATTGCATTCGGCTGCTAACCAAAAGGTTGGTGGTTGGAACCCACCAGCCTCTCTGCTGGAAAAAGATGTGGCTGTTTGCTTCCATGAAGTTTATAGTCTTGGAAACCCTATGGGGCAGTTCTGTTATGCCCTTTTGGGTTGCTGTGAGTCGGAATCTACTCGTTGCTAGTGGTTTGGTTTTTTTGTTTGAAAGATAACCACGACACCTGGCAGAGGAGATGTCAGAGAAACTTGCCCTGCTGTCTGTCCTGGGAGACCCAGGGCAGGGATAGCTGGATGTGGCACCGCTTCACTTTTGTCTCTGTCGTCTCAGGGAGGTGAAGGCCTTGCTCTGTGGGGGAGGTGTCAGGTCAGCAGAGCAGGGGCTGAGGCCCTGCCAGGTGTGAAAGTGAATACTCTGAGGAAGGGCTTGGGGTAGCTCTCACCCTCAGAACTGACGTACCTAATCCTCTTGTAGCATAGTGCCTAAGGCAATTGACTGCTAACCAGAAGGCTGGCGGTTCAAACCCACCAGCCACTCCTCGGAAAGAAGGTTGGGCATTCCTACTTCCGTAGTGATACTGCCTCGGAAACCCAAGGAGGGGTCTCTATGAGTCGGGGCCGACTTGATGGCAAATAACAACAACAACAACAACAATCCTTCCTGTGAGCCATAGAAGACCCAGGACTGGGGAGGCTGGGTGTGGTGTGCCCTAATTTCTGCCATCAAAGTGGGAGGTGGATCCTAATTTCTGCTATAGGGGTGGAGTGGGGGTGGTGTCATCTCAGGGAAGGTTCTTGGTCTGTTAGAGTGAAGTCAAGTCAGCCAAAAGTCAGGTTAGCAGAGTATAGTCCTTGTCGGAAGGAAAGATGAATACTCCTGAGAGAGGAGTGAGGGAGCCACCCACACTAGGGCACAAAGGAGATCCAACAAACACTGACCTTTCCCTGATGCCAGCCATTCAGGCCTGTCAGGCTCAGACACCCCTCCCCCCATTTCTGCTCAAAGAGCTCAGGAAGGTAAAGGGCCTCAGTGATCGCAGGCAGACTGAGGTCAGGTGAAGGGAAGACTCAGATCCGTCTAGGCATCCATGTAAAGACCGTAAGGAAGGATGGAAAGGATCTCCTACTTAAGTAGTGGAGACCCCTCAGAAACCCACACTTATTGCTAGCCCTTGGAGGACCTGTGGCTTGGTGGCTGAATGTGGTATCCCATGGTATCCCGATATCCTTGGTGAGGGATCTGGGTTCAGGTCAGCAAAGGGAGGAGTCCCAAATGCTTCCAGTTACCGATGTGAGAATATACACCTATTCTATGACATACAGCATTACAGCCTTGTCCTCCTACCTCTGCTGTCACCTCAGGAGGACCCAGGGTAGAGTCCTTGGCTGTGTGCCTCCTCACTTCCTCTTTGTTGGTCTCAGGAATTAGCTGTAGTTCTGAGAGTTTTCCCTCAGGTCAGCAGAGAGTGGGGCCCAAGCCCTAGGGAAAGCTGAGGCTCCTGAGTGAGCATTGAGGGGACTATCAATTCCTGAACTGTGGAGAACTCAGAGTCTGATCCCACCTCTTCTGTCAGTGCTAGGAGGCTCAAGATTGTGCTTGCAGTGATGGACGGACTCCTTCATTTTCACAGGGGATCAAGGATCAGGAGGTCTAAGGCACGTGTTCTCAGGTCAGCAGAGTGGAGGCAGCCCAGACACTGCCAGGAGTCAAGGTGAGGACCGTGAGTGTCTGTCTACCAAGGACCCTACTGTCTTAGTTACCTAGGGCTGCTATAACAAAATTCCACAAATGAGTGGCTTTAAAGGACGGAAATTTATTTTCTCACAATTCTCCAGGCTAGAAGTCCAAACTCAGAGTCTTGGTCACATTGATACCTTCCTTGTCAATACATTCCCCCCCCCCACACACACACCTGCTTCTGTGTCTAATCTGGTGTTTTTAGAACTCAGAAGTGCTTGGGTTTAGCACGCACTCTCCACTGGTATGACATCATTAACATAACAAAGAAAACCATATTTCCAAACAGGATTACATCTGTAGGTATGTGGGTTAAGAGTCCAACATATATTTTGTGGGGATGCAATCAGTAGCACACACACCTCAGCACAGAAGAGACTCCAGAGTGCCTGATCCTGTCTGCCCTACTCACAGTCCTGGAAGTCATGTTACTTTCCCCTTCAGGTTCTTAGGGGATAGGTCAGCCAGGACAGGAGATTAGTGAGAGCCTAGAGCACCACCTAAACAGAAGACCTGTAAGTTAGCCTTTGTCAAATCTGCTAAGGTTTAGTTTCTCAACTGAGTTCACTCATAACTCTCTTTTTCTCCCCTATGCCATTGTGCCCTCATTACCCATCCTTCTGTCATATTCTTGCTCCCAACAGGAGTCATTATGTTTCACAATCAGAAAAGTCAGTGCAGCAAGAATATGCAATGTCTTTGGCCCCAGAGGAAGATACAGAGCCTGGTGTGTCCAAAACTTCCTGTGATTGAGGAGGAGGAAGTCTCCGTAGCAGAGGTGTATGCTTCTGGGACACCGAGTATGCCCCAGAGTGCTCAGACAGCCTGCTTCTCAACTCCCATTGCAGCTGCTCCATGGAGCAAACAAGATGGAGATCCCAGCAGCCAAGAAGAGGTTCCAGGCACCTTCCATATCTCGCCACCTATTGAGGCTTTGCTCAGTGATAGGCTAGATAAGAAAGTAGTTGATTTGGCGCAGTTCCTGAGCACCAAGTATCTAACAACAGAGCCCATGGCAAAAAGGCAGAAATGCTGAAGATGGCGATTAAAGAGTACAAAGACCACTTCCCTGTGATCTTCCAGAAAGCCTGTGAGTGCATGGAAATGGTCTTTGGCATCAGTGTGAAGGAAGTGGACTCCATGGGCCACGCCTATCTCCTCATCAAAATGCTAGATCTCACCTATGATTGGATGCTGAGTGGTGAACAGGGCATGTCCAAGACCGGCCTCCTGATACTTACCCTGGGCGTGATCTTCATGGAGAGCAACTGTGTCCCTGAAGAGAAGGTCTGGGAAGTGCTGAGTATGATTGCAGTATGTTCTGGAAGGAAGGATTGCTTCTACGGGGAAATCAGGAAGCTAATCACCAGAGATTTGGTGGAGGAAAAGTACCTGGAGTACCACCAAGTGCCCAACAGTGATCCTGCCCGCTGTGAATTCCTTTGGGGTCCAAGAGCCCATGCAGAAACCAGCAAGATGAAAGTCCTGAAGTTTTTTGCCAAGGTCACTGGAACTAACCCATCCTTGTATGAGGAGCCGATGATTGAGTGAGCCCAGGCAAAAATTGCCACTGAGGCCAAATCAGCCCCCAGTGAAATATGAGAGCAGTCAGTGTTCTAAGTAGTGGAATACCAGGGTGGGGCTGAAGGAGCCCAGTTGTATCTCACCTTTGTTTCTGTTGTGTATGGGCAACTTAGAGATTTCTTTCTTTTCTTTTGGGTATTTCTCAAATACTAATTTCTTTTTAATAAAAAGTTTATTAGATTCAGAATATTACGTTTATAAATTAGTCACATATCTATTGGTGTTTTTCAGGTTTAGCAATTCAAATTGTTTTCTGTTGCAAAACTAATTGGGAAACCTTCCATCTTATTTTGTAATACGGAACAAGATAATATGATACTGGAATAGGAATTTCCTTGGAAATGTGAAAGAACCCAGCAGTAAAATAAAATAGAGGGATTCAATAAGTAGGGGGATAAAGCATAAAAGATGGTTAATTCTTGGATTATGGCATCCCAGAAAGAGTCTGTTCTGTAAAATTAAATCTTTGATAAAACAAGTTGCTCACTGGCTCATTTATTCTCAAAACATTAGTTGAGCATCTGCTCTTTAGGAAGGTTAGTATGGGGATATTAGAATAAGCAAGATACACTCCCTACTCAGAATTGTAGCGTCTCAGAACAGTAGTCATATTAGGAAGATGGTGAGACATGTAACTGAAAAACAGGCTTGAGAGCTTGGAGAACTCTCAGGATGGGGACAGTCAAGTGTAAATGCCTCCCCCAGCTATGCAGTTTGGGGTCTGGGAAAGTGTGATTTCTTCTGTGGGAGGTAGTTTTAAATAGAGCTGGTGGGAACAGAGCCAGGCTCTGTGGTGGAGTATCTTACAGGTGAGAGAAAAGGCTGGAATGGAAAACTTTTGGATCATAGAGAAATCACCTGGGGCAGGTGTGGAAGGCATCCTGCACTCTGGTCCTGGAGCAGTTGAGCATTGCACAGCCTAGGGGTTTTATACACATCATCTGCAAGATTTCCTAAGAAATAAGGGTGATAACTCCCTTGAAGCAGTGCCCGGAATCCACTAGGCTAGTACTTTTTTCTATTGCCTGGGAGAGCCAGAGCTCATTACACTAAAATGTCACTATAATTAGGTTATCTTGACTGTGATTTGGCCAACTCTAAGCAAAGGCTCGATTTTGGGTGGGGGTGAAATGCATGGATGGCTATTTGGGATGGAAGAGGGGGTGGAAGGGAGATAAGAAGTTGGTCTTTGGCTTAAATTCCAGAAACTTGAGTCAGATGGGGAAGACACCCCACACCCAAATTAAATAATCTATAAAGGGGATATTTAGGAAGCAATATTTTGCTGATTGGGGTGCCATGTTCTACAGCGCTGCACGTTCTCTGAGGTGTCCTGGATGACAACAACAAAACTCCCAGAGGAGAGGGTGGCAGGGTCTGGGGTCTACATAGTATTTGAAACAAGTACCAGTTATTAAAGATTTGATACATGTAAGGCACTGGGCCAGGTGCTTTACATACATTCCCCTAGTCCTGCAGGGTTCGCCAGACCAGCGTTTTGAAGCTGTTTCCTTCTCATTGGACCCCTGTTGAGAATTTGCATTTCCACCTCAGATAAACCGAATCAGAATGGACAGTTTAACAAGTTCCCCAGGTGATTCTTAGGAACTGGTTAAATTCCCTGTGCCAAGTCCTCATCACAGATGAAGAATGTAAGGCTTATAAACCCCAAAACCAAATTCACTGCCATTGAGTCAGTTCTGACTCACAGTGACCTTATAGGACGGAGTGGGGCTGCCTCGTAGGGTTTCCAAGGCCGTAATCTTTACTGAAGCTGATTGTCTCTTCTTTCCCTTGCAGAGTGGCTTGTGGGTGCTAACTGCTGACCTTTTGGTTAGCAGCTGAATGCTTTAACCACTCTGTACCCTCAGAGCTCCTTAAGGCTCACAGGCTTTGGTAATTACCCCAAGAGGATGGCCTAGTAAAGGATAGGCCTTAACTAGATTCCTGGTCTACGTCCATCTAGAGCCCACACTCTAATGCTCCTCGTAGCCTCAGGCAGCCGTTCTGTCTCTTAACTCATTTCTTGTGACTCCATGATGTCTCTGAGGTGACAAAATACCCTGCAGCCAAGGTAGAAACTTACTTAAGGTGAGTGACAATGAGAATACAAGACCGTTTGGGGATTGTGGGCCTTTTTTAAAAAAAACACTTTGTGTCAAGCCACTCACATTTCAGGATTTATATTGTTTTAAAGATGATTCTAGAATTTTTCATACATTAAAAAAAATTGCTGTCAAGTTGAATCCAATTCCTAGAGACCCTACAGTGCAGAGCAGAACTGCCCCGTAGGGTTTACAGGTTGTAAATCTTTACGGAAGCAGACGGCTTCATCTTTTTCCTGCAGAGCGGCTGGTGGGTTTGAACTGCTGACCTTTCAGGTAGTGGTTGAGCACTTAACCACTGTGGCTCCAGGGATCCTTTATTTTCATACAGAGATGTACTATAAAAATAGATTGTTTTTTAAACATGGTAATGATGTACCTATTGATTTGCTGCTTGCCACTTATACAATGGCTGTAGGATCTTTTCCATTGAAGCACATGCAGAACTCCTTCACTTTTGTAACTACTCCCTAGAGTTCTAAGTACATATGTGCCATAATTAATTAAACAATCTCCTCCTGGTGGACAGAGTGGTTTCCCCATTTGTGGCTATGATTAATAGAGCAGAAATCAGCAATTTTGAACATGAGTTCTTGGACAGATGTCTGTGTTTTTTCAGAAGAAAGGAGTATTAATGTGGAAGTTGGTTAAAGTGGAAAGGGTGTGAATATTTTACATTTTTATAAATATTGCCATAATTTTATTCCAAATAATAAAGTACCAGTTAATGTTCTTACAAATTAATGTATTTGAATATCCTGCTCTTTCATAGATATTTTATCAGTTTTTTAAATTTTGGATTAAAAAATCATGTTTCAATGTTATTTTAATTTGTAGATCCCTGTTTTCTAATTAAGCAGAAAATTAACTTAAAATCCCTCACCCCTATGAAACTGGTTTCAGTGATATCCTGAGTAACAGGAGTCAGCTGGGCATAATTTAAAATGGTGAAATGTCAAGATATTTACTCTTTCCTTTGAGAAGCAAGGGTTTGGTCAGAATGACAAGGACCCAGGGAACGGAGGACACAAAGTGTAATGATACATGTTGTTGTTGTTGTTATGTGCCGTCGAGTCGGCCCCGACTCATAGCGACCCTCCTTGGGTTTCTGAGGCAGTATCACTACAGAAGATCACCCATCTTCCTTCCAAGGAGTGGCTGGTGGGTTTGAACCGCCAGCCTTCTGGTTAGCAGTCAAGTGCCTTAGGCACTATGCTACCAGAGCTCCTGTAATGATACATAGAGTTTAAAAATAAAGGATGGGAAAAATTGATGAATGGAATGCTAAAAGAAAGAGAGGGGGTACACATAATAAAATACAATTCAAGGTTAAGAAAATTGGAAAGAATAAGGAAGGATATATTGTTTGATGAATGATGGTATGTCAGTCAGGATGTAATCATAGTCATAAAGAGCTATACACTGAATGACACTTTAAATTTATAAAAGTACTAATGAGGAAGTACAAGGAAACCAGAAAATGAATATATCTACAATTCTAGTAGGAGACATTAAGCATAATTTTGTCAGCATTCATAGAGATCATAATAAGAAATAAAAATAAAAATATATGAATAACACAGTTAATGGTTTCGATGAAACAGAACTATGCATACAACACAGGAGACACACACGTATTTCAAACATTTATGGAGAATTTATAAATTCATGAACTGCACTGTGTATTCCAAAAGATGTCTTATGCCTGGCATTCTCTTAATGACTACAGAATACAAATTTGTCAAAAAACTTATTCTCTTAATATAAAATAATTGTCATCTTGATGCTACAGGATTAATAAGGAAATAAATGACAATGAGTATACCATATATCAAAAACTGTGTAGTGCTAAATGTTCTTTATTTTTAGTTGGGTGCCGCGTACACAGTTCATTTTATTCTTTAAGGTATACGTGAACATCACGTACGTTATTTTCATGTATATTTCACAATTATTTTAGATCATGTGAAAGCTATTATACAGCTGAAGAGGAATTTTATATAAAATACATATTTTCTCATTATACATGCTGTACTGGTGTTATTAGGAAATTCTATGTAATTTTAAAACATTTCAGTTGAAGAGGTTCACTCCTCAGTCTTATGTGCATATCAGTTACTCTTTACTTTCATGTTTCAGCATGTCACATTACAGTTATTGTTGTTAGGTACCCTCAGTTCCAATTTATAGCAACTTTATGTGCAACAGAATGAAACACTGCCCAATCCTGTGGCACCCTGACAACTGTTGCTATGTTTCAGCTGATTGTTGCAGCCACTGTGTCAGTCCATCTCATAGAGGGTCTTACTCTTTTCTGCTGACCCTCTACCAAGCATGATGTCATTCTCCAAGGACTTCTCCCTCCTGATAACATGTCCTAAGTACGTGAGACAAAGTCTCGCTATCCTCCCTTCTAAGGAGCATTCTGGCTGGATGTCTTCCAAAACAAGATTTGTACATTCTGACAGTCCGTGATGTACTCGATTTATTTTGCTAACACCATAGTTCAAAGGCATCCATTCTTCTTAACTGAAGTTAAGTTGATTCTGACTCATAGTGACCCCTGTTGGGTTTCCAAGGCTGTAAATCTTTACAGAAGTAGATTGTGCCTCATTTTCCTCCCATGGAGAAGCTGGTGGGTTTGAACTGCTGACCTTCTGGTTAGCAGCCAAATGCCTTATCCAATACCTGCTAGAAAAGCTATCCACTCCTGAATGTGGACTGAGATCCCCTTTCCTATCCCTCTCAAAGAAAACTATTACATGTAGATAGTGTGGAAGAAACAAAGTTCAGGGAAAAATGATTGTATGCAATTTTAATGCTTACTATTTCTACAGGGAAACTGAGGATACTCATTTTAAT